GGGGAGGGGGGTGATGTCTGCCAGGGGCCAGGGAGGGGGGAAGGCAGAAGGGGATTGGGGTGGGCGCTCCGCATCGATCCTTCATTCGCGTTAACCGTGAACCTATATCTTCGTGGAGCAGGTGAATTCTGACAGGTGTCCCTAGAAAGGTTGTCCTAGTTGAGAGAGGCCCCAAGGCTGTCCCCTGAATTGTGCACAGAGGGAGGAAGAAGGTCAGGCTGGCAGGAGGGGACTAGGGCCCGGATCTGACTTTTGCTCCTCTGACCAAGTTATGGCTTTTTCTGGGTCTCAGTTTCTCATTCCATAGATGAGGTCTAGTAGGTGCCCTCCAGGCTCATCCCTCTGTGGACTTGTCCTGGTCCTGAGTCCTACAGGGGAGTTGAACTGGCCAGTGGCAGCTGCCCTCCACTCAGGATCCTTCCAGTCCCTGCCCCTACTGCCCTACCAGTCCCTGCCCCTACTGCCCCTACTGCTGCTTCTTCCAGGTTCCTTGTTTGTTTGTTTAAACCAGTTCCTCAGCTCCCCTTGGGTTCTTTTTTTTTTTTTGAGTCAGTCTCACTATTGCCCAGGCTGGTTTGCAGTGGCATGCTCTCAGCCACTGTAGCCTTGATTAGCTGGGCTCAGGCAATCCTTTTGCCTCCAAGTAGCTGGAACTACAGACATACACCACCATGGCCAGCAATTTTTAAAAATTATTGAAGAGATGAGGTCTTGCCAAATTGTCCATGCTGGTCTCGAACCCTGGGCTCAGGCAACCGTCTTGTCTCAGCCTCCTAAAGGGCTGGAATTACAAGCATTAGCCACCATGCTTGGCTTTTTTTTTTTTTTTTTTAATAACAAAAACAAAAAAACCCCATATACTTTGGGGAAGAAGAGAGCATTTCAGTCATGTGTCCCTGAGTACAGACTCTTGGACTCTGTGTGGTTGGGGTCCTTCTTTCTATGGAAAATGTGTCTGGGAGTTCAGCTTCCTCCTCCTCCTCCTTGAAGCTGAATTGACTCCTCAAGGAGTCGCTGGACAGATTTGAGGTAATGAATCAGTCTGCGGCTTGAGGGGCATCCTCTGACACTGCCCTCGTGGCCTGCTTCTTCCTTTAACCTGGAATAACTTACTTGCCCCCGAGTCTTCATTTTCTCTGTTGGTGGAAGTAGTGCCTGGATTTGGTCATTTCAAATCTGCTGGTGTTCAGGCTCTGAGCATCAAAGCTTTGCAGCTTCAGCTAACCTGGGAAAGGATGGTGTCAGCCTAGGGGGTCCCGACCCCCACTGAGAAGAGAATCGAAAGGTGTTCCTGGATGACAAAAAGATCTTTATCAGATGACAAAAGGATCTTTATCAGCTGATATGCCTCCACCCATCGAGGGCTGGGGGTGGGTGTGGTGCAGGTGGCCTGGGTCAGGCTGGGGAAGGAGGGGCTTCCTCGTGGGTGCTCCCAGGCAAAGAGTACTATTTCTATATAGTCTTGATGCAACAGGATAGCATGATCTATGCAGTGGTGGGGAGGGGACTCAGAGGTCATCCATAACAGTGAAATGGTGGGAGAAGAATGATTTTTCTATTTCCACCTTTCTCAGAGCACAGACATCCTGAGATATTATGGTGATGCTCACTCGCCTAATTAGAGACAAATCGAGGTAAAGGGAATTTACCCAAACCGAGAATTAGGACTCCTTTGAACTTTAAATTTAATGCAAATAATAAGGTAACATAATTTGTTCATTTATAGGGAAATCCAAGTAAAAAATGTTTTCCAGGCTGATAATCAGAACTCCTTTAAGGTTGACATTAACAGGCAGCTAAGGGACTGGCAGGAGGAGGACTTCACTCACCTGGCCTCTAGGTTACTTGTTTTCTCAAGTACTGGGGTGATCTGCTGACGTTGAAATGAAATGGAACTTACCTGGTTACACTCATTATGAAAATTACTTAACTTAGCAGGCTCCTTTGAATTAAGAAAGCATATCCACAAATCTAAAATATTTTCCCTGGGCCTATCCCAAGGAGATGGAAGACAGAAAAAGGATCCTTTATCTTCAGAGGAATCGATCTGTTTTTCAATAGGGCCACTTTGTCCTGTAGCAATTTTTAAGTTCGACGTTAGACACGTTATGAAGTGTGGGTGACAACCCACAGGTAGCCCATTCAGTTCCTAATGCTAAACTACTTAATTTTTTTGGTGGGGGGGGAGTGAATTCAACATTTCCAATTATTGGTGAGTGGTTTTCTTTAGAAGATACTTTTCTTTTTAGAAACACAGTGTCATTGAGTGACACTGACATTCAAGGCCCTTTTACTGCTTCCTATTATGACATATCCCACCTGTTGTCAAAATCTATGGCAATAGTTAGCTACAATACTTATTAAATTAATAACTTAATTCCCTGATCCTCACAGTTCTTTAAAGGTTCAGGTAAAAGGATCATCGAATAATTCAGGAACACCATTAGTGACCATTTCTTAAGCCAGCATGCAATAGCTTGCATTCAAACAGGAGCATGGGAATAATCATTCATTATCTGTCTATTTTTGCAGCATGAGAATTACATACATACTTGGGTTATGGATATTTACTCCTCACAGGCAGAAAAGCTGACTTTGATTTCCCTCCCACCTCCCTCCCACAACTGGTCTTTGAAAAGACAAAGCAAAATAAAACAAATCACTGTCTTTATTTTCTAATAATTTCTTAGGAAGTTAATAGTTTCAAAGCAACCGACAGCATAGGACAATTTCTATTATTAATTGTTCACAAGAATATTGTGACTAGAATTTACTGAATTTTTTCAGTAGTAAAGTTTGTCTACTGAAAGCAATGCAATGAATGCACAGTGAAAACAAAACAAACAAAAAAATCACATACTTTTGCTAACCTAGTGCATACTCACAACACACACACACAATAATACTGCATGTGTCCAGGTGTCCTCCAGAATGGTGCAAATGGATGTCTTAAACATTATCCTGTTAAGTGAAATCTAGTCAAATGTCACATTATGAATCACAATTTATTCATTTTCTCTTGACAAAATGTAGTGAGTGTATGTTTTCTACTATGTGGGCAGGAAAAACTGGTTTACACGTCCCATCCCCTGAAAGGAAAATTTAATAAGTTTTGGGAACTGACAAGCATAGAAAACACTCTGCCTTGTCTTTCTGTGAAGGGGCTTACATTCCAAGTGTCTTCACAGCCAGGACACGGCCATCCCTCCTCCCTTCTTAGGGGACAAACTCTCAGGACAGCTGGTATTTACATATTTACAAAGCGTTTTCAGAATTCCCTCAAAACCTCAAGGTCCTAAAATCCCTCCCAGGGGTTCTGAAAAGACAAAGATACGAAACTAAAATCTATAAGAATTGCACACGCACTAAGGAATGTGCTGCTTATATTAAAGATAACTCACAGCTTCGCTCCAGTAACTTCTGCGTCGGGATTAGCTCCTGGGAGATCCTAAAAGCGAACTTTGTCAGGGAGCACCCCTCCGCCACTCCCCCCAACTCGACCCAGCCCCAGGGGTACCTTCCCAGACCCGAGCCTTCCCGATGACGGTTCCCGTGCGCCCTGCATTTGCAGTCCCAATAGCTCAAAAACGCCTATCCCATTTTTAGCCTGAGATTAAATGAGCCTGCGGGTTGCCCGACGCGGGCTCAGGCCTTCGGGTCCCCGGACAAGCCCGTCCATGTCGCCTGGGGTCCCAGGAAAGGGAGCGGAGTGGGGAGGGACCCCGTGAGCAGGGGTGGCATGGGTAGAGATGAACGCGTGGCGGGTTCGCCGCTGGAGGGTGGGGTGGATTGTCCCGGGTGTTCATTTTCTGGCTTATCTCTGAGGTATCCGGCCTTTGGTGGAGAAGCCTCATTCTCCTCAGATGTTTTCTAAACAGGTGCCACCTCGAAGTGCGTGTACAGTGTCGGCAGGAAGGGTCTGGACACGCTCTTGGTTAGACCGGCCACATGTGTGTTTAGAAAAAAAGAGCAGAGGGTCGGGGGAAAGCCGAGGGGTCGCTCTGTTCTGGAAAGGTTTTCAGACCTATCTAAAACCTCTAGGAAAGCAGGTGTGTGTGCGCACGCGTGCGTACCCATGTGTTCCTCGCACAGCGGTGGTCGGTCCAGCTCCGCACTACAGCAAGTTGCTCCCGGGATTGGGGCGAGGGTACCCGCTGGAGTAAAAGAAAAAATTCCAGAGTCCCTCTCTCGCTCCAAATTGAGGCACTTAAGCTCCCTCGTTAAAGGAGGACTTCGAGGTGGGGGGATTGAAGATAGGCCCCTTTAGGCACACAGATGCTGCTTCCTGGGGTCGGAGAGGCTGAGCCGCCCCAGGTCGGGAAGGGAAAAGCACGCTTGCGCAACCGCGGCTCACTCTCCGGCTTCCAGTAGCAACCCTTCCCGAAACCCTGAATAATAGAGCAACACGCGGAACACCGCCCGCCCTGGAAACCCGCTGCCGCTCAATCCAGGCCCACAGGTCCCAGGACGCGCCGCGCCTGCGATGGCGAGAGCATCCGCACCCCGGGCCTCGTGGGCGCGACGACGTCTGCAGCCTCCCGTGTCAGAGGGACCCATGCCGCCCCGGGGAACGTCGAGCGCCCGGAGCTGCGGGTGTCAGCGGCTTCGACGAGCCGGCTGCACCTCGCACCTGTGCTCACGGCTGGGGCTGGGGTCCGGAGGAGGATCTCGCTAGGTTGTCGGCTCCCAGCTCCCTCCGCTGAAGTCTCTCCATTGAATCCAAATCCTCCCCAGCCCTGCGCCTACCACCCCTCTCCCGAGCGGGTGGCAAGGGAGCTGGGGAGTCAAGAGAACTGCACCGGGTAGGCTGGCTGGGTGTGTGTGTGAGGAGTCCCACCTGCCGAGGCTCTCCAGGCCAGTGGCCGCCTCAGCCGGAGGGGGCAGGGTGGGCGCGCACGGACGCAAGGGTTTCTGACGCGCAGGGCTCGGCCCCCGTAGTCCACAGCCTGGAAGGGCCGAGCGCGCGGATGCGATCTGCGGGCGGGCTCCCGGGGGGCGCCCCGCGTGGCGCGAGGCAGTGACCCGACGCCCCTGTGCTTCCTCCCGCAGTGGCCGATCGGAAGCCCCCCAGCCCCGGCGCCAAGGCCGCGGACGCCCTCAGTAGCCTACACGGACTGTCCATCCCGGCCTCCACCTCCTAGGGGCCGGTCTTCCGGGGGCGGGCAACGGCGGGCCCCGGGCGGCCCTGAGGGCACAGCGCGGCCCGGTGGCCCCCACGAGCGGCACGGCAGGACCCGAGGACATGCGGAGGAGGAGAAGACCGCTCCCCCCCCCTCCGCCTAGCCTGTCGGGGGGGGGGACTCCGGAGGCCCCCAGGTCTCACCCCGCCTAGGACCCAGCCCACCACCCTTCCTTGATCGGCCAGGATTTTAGGCTTTTCTGAACTTGGCTTTAGACTGTTGCACCCTCGTTAAGGTTCTTGCTCCAACGTGGCCTCCCTCGCCCCGCCAGCCGCGATTTCCTCTGATTTCTGTCCGCCTCCCTTTTTGCCCCTCGTCTCTCTTTCCTCTCTCCCTCGTTCCCACTCTCTTTCCTTTCCCTACCGTCTCCCCCACAACCCTGCCATGCTTCCCTTTGTCCTATTTTCCTGCCCCCTGCCTCCTGTCCTCCCTCTCCTCCCGATTGACCTCCCTCCCCCGCCCCCCTTCCCCCGTTGACTCCCTACTCTCTCCGCTTTATTTTCTTTCCTTCCTGCTGCCGTCCTGACACCGCCCATTCCCAACCCGGAGGGCCCCAGACGGTCCCTCTTGAGGCACCTGGGAGCTCCTCAGCCCTAGTGGAGGGGGCCTAAGCCCAGGAACTGGACGGAGAAGCCACAGCCTTTATTTTATATTTTTATATTAACAAATCCCAACGAACCTGGATGGACCGCAGTCTCCCCGTCCTCCCCCGGTATACCCTCCCGACATTTGTTTTTTCTCAGTGCCCAGTGCCCCGGGCATTTCTTAGTTTCAGATGGCACTGCAAAGAAGATCGGGGTAGGCGTAGGGGACCCTGGGGCCGTTGATGTTTTGTGTAGTGAGGAAACTGGGCGTCCTGGAGGTGCCCCGCACCCCTCCACCCTCAGCCCTGGGGAATCTGACAAATGGTAAACGCATCACTGCGGTTTCTGGTGTTCAGGGGTGAGCACGTTTGTTAAATTAAACCACAAACTGCTTCTGGGTACAAAGATTCACTTGGGCTTCTGATTTGCAAGGGGTGAAGGTGGGGAGGTCTGAAAAACCCAGAAAGTGTCTTCTGGAGCCAGACCCAAGAACTGTTAACTGTTTCCAAGTTCAGGTGCACTGGTGGCGGGACCCTGGACATAAGATTCTGTAGTCATAACATATCACTGGGGAGGGCCTGACATCACCTGCTGAAAGGTGGCTGCCTTGGAATAAAGAAAGCGCCTGAGAGCGCTTGGAAAGGTGAGCAAGTGTGGAGTGTTTACTTACCGCCGCAATGCTCTTCCCTCCCTCCAGGTCCCAGGACAAACCTGTTGGGGAGGTGATTTCTTGGCTTAGGCACCAGCACTTGTGCCAGGTTGGGTAAGAAGTGGAGGAGAAAGTGAAAGGGAGCGGGGAACCCTTACTGATGGGGAAATCATCCCCACACACCTGGCAGCCGCCCGTCTCCCCCTCCTCCCTCAGGGATGGGCTTAATTATTTGGCATCAGGTAATGCTAGGTCATCCCGGTACTGAGGCAGAGAGACAATACACAGAAATCATCCCCAAATGGAGTTAATTCTTTTTTTTTTGAGTTGGAGTCTCACACCATCACCCAGACTGGAGTGCAGTGGCCGCTCCCGGCCACCGCAGCCTCGACCTGCTGGGCTCCAGTGATCCTTCCGCCTCAGCCTTCCAAGTAGCTGGACCTACAGGCCCGGCTGATTTTTTATTTATTGTAGAGATGAGGGCTCGCCAAGTTGCCCAGGTGGGTCTCGAACCCGCGGGCTCAGGCAATCCACTCACCTCAGCCTCCCAAAGGCACGGGATTATAGGTTGAGCCACTGAGCTCGGCTCAGAGTTAATTCTTAAAGGAATCAAGTGGGCAAAAGGCAAGGAGCCACCATGGAGGACTTTCTTGGAACATTTCTAACGTCCTAAAAGTTGAGGAAAATGGTCCCGGGCCAGGGATTTTTATCTGCGAATGGGTTTCTGGCTAATTGCTTTTTTTTTTCCTCCCTGGTTGATTTGGCTTTCTGAAACTGTTGAAAGAGATGTTGAAATGGAAGTTTTGTTTTTTATCATTTATTATTTCATTTTTCTTAAGGAATTGCCTGCTTAGTGTGTGTCTCCTCCTCACCCACCCAGAAAACCAGTGGGAAACTGTTTTTATTGCATCTCTTTGCAGTGGTACCTGTGGAAGGCACCGACCATACTTGCTTGTTTCCTACAGAGACTTTTCTTAGGTTTTCAAAGTCTCTCTCTCTCTTTTTAAGTTATTTTTTTAAGAGCGATGTTGAGGGCTAGACACTGGATTTTTCTCTAGGTCACACAGCAAGGTATGAATTATGGAGCTTGGGCACAGAAACTGGGTGACACCATCTCAGAGAACTAATTGAGACTTGAACTTTGTAACTGTGACCCTCAGACTTCCAGGCCAGTGTATCCTGCAGGGGAGCTGGTCATACTGATGACAGGAAAAAAAGGATGGCAAAGAAGCATGTTCCTGAGTCCCTGTCCTCTCAGCCTGTCTTCACAAGCTTGGGGAACCGTCCTGTGCTTAGTTGTGAAACCCTGGGCAGGATTTTCACGTATCTGTTCTTGCTGCCTGGAGACAGACTGGCTTGCTCAGGTCAAGAGGAAAGTATCTCATTCCTTTCCAAAGGAATGAGAACAACATCTACCTTGAAGTTTCACCCCCATTTTCTGTAGCTGTTCACATCTGTGTTTGAGCTGATCAGAGCTAAAGGGGAGAAGTACTGGGAGATGGATGGAGACACTTGGGTTTTAAGCTTCACCTGCAAAAGGGGATATTTTCCATATCTGTCCCTTGTTATTTCCCATATCCCATGGCTGGGGGAAGGTGCTTCAGAGTTCACTGGCTCTGTGGTAAGCATTCACAGAGCACAGGTGGACTTCCATCACAGCACCAGCAGGCTTTGGCCTTTTGTGTGGCATATGAAGGGACACACCTTCTACCTTGAGGCTGTGGGCCATGGAAAGTCTCTGTGAACTTGGCTGAAATCTCTGCTCCACTGTATGTAACAGACGACTGGGACCTCTCTGGTCTGTCTGGGAGATGTGCCCTTTTCCACACAGTAATGCCTTCAGTGACCTGGCCTGCAGAAAGGCTGATGCTGCATGGCTTCACCTCTCTGGAGATAATTTTTCTTAGCTGTTAACAAAGCTTAAGGTAGTCACTTCTAAGGTTGATGGGGGACCCAGAATTTCAATATTTCCCAAAAGTTCCCATTGAAATACTGCACTTTTACTCCTTGTGCATATGACTCTGGGGAGGTACTGGGGATATGTAATAAAATTCACAGTATCTTGTCAGGTAGAATAATTTGAGAAAATCACTCTTCAAAGGTGAGATGTCTTTGCCTTTATTTTTAAATCTAAGGATAAGTTTAAAAAAATATATATAGAGATGTACCTAAAATTAAGACACATAATCACCAGATAGCGCTTTGATTTTTTTTGAAAAAATGGAAATGTGAGGGGGGGAACCCCCAAAACCCAGAATTAACTTTTGGAGGGTGTGCCCTCCAGAATTTGTTCCCCCAGATTAAATGGTCAACCAAAGTTTTTATCTGGAAATTTTGAGAAGGTTGCATCACGATTTGTGGAAGAAACATCCTGAATTGTGGGAAACGGGTGACTGGTTCTTCTACCATGACAACGTACCTGGCCACACCGTGCTGAGTGTTCAGCAGTTTTTGACCAATAATGGCATGAACCCTGTGCCTATTCTCCCTATTCACCCAGTCTCATGCTGAGTAATTTCTTTTCTTCTCTGAATGAAAAAGGTCCTCAGAGGGGAACGTTTTGCTGACATGGAAGAGGTGAAATAAAAAAATGGCAGAACCGGGCTCCATGGCTCAGCCTGTAATCCCGTGCCTTTGGGAGGCTGAGGTGAGTGGATTGCCTGAGCCCGCGGGTTCGAGACCTGCCTGGGGAGTGAGACCTCATCTCTACAATAAATCAAAAAATCAGCCGGGTATGATAGCACATGCCTGTAATTCTGGCTACTGGAAGGCTGAGGCGGAAGGATCGCCAGAGCCCAGCAGGTCG